CTCCCCAGCCCAGGCTCTATAGTAAACATCCTGGGTTTCTTATTAAATTTGTAGGTTAATACTCATTGTTTTGGTTTTATGGATAAATTTTACAATGATTATTTTCATAATTTGCAACTATGATAGTGATTTTTAGTTGCTTTTTATTATTATATTTATATTGCTACAATTATGTAGTTAAGAATTGATACCTTTGGTCATTGGCCTCGCCTAGCTTTGTGTATTCAAGGATTCTGTTGGTGTAGTAAAACAATCTTGAGGAAATTTTGTATATGACATGCCTGCACCAGGAGCACTCATAAATATCTTAAGTAATACATTAATTAATCATTATTATTATTATTATTATCATCATTATAACCATAGATTATGTGGACAAACAAACAAACAAACAAACTCTACTCATCTTAGTGGGCTTCGCCCAATGATAACAATAGGAGGCTGCATAGCGTAATTATGTTCCCTTGTTAGACAGCACCTCATGTACAAGTTATTGGGGAACTTTGGAAGAATGGTAACCTCACGACTGGTGAAAAACTCAGTTTTTTGAGCGAATATAGTAATCATATAGCAGAGTCTGAAACTGTTAGTTTAATGCAAGCTTGACTATACATGTACATGTACATGTATATGTATATGTATATACATGTACATGCATACATACATGTACTTGTTGTTATTATTTATCATCTTGTGATTTAGGAGCTGATCATAAATGACACAAATCAGTTTATAAATGACATTGAAAGTGAAAGTGAGGTATTTATAGTGCACACATGATCATGGTTAGTCAGTAAGTACTCACATTAGGAGACTAGGCGGACAATAGTCAGCCAATTATTTGTTGGACTTGATTTATTTGCTCTCAATACGCTAGGAGGAAATGCATCAATATCATTTTGATAATAATTATTGGTATATATATATATTAGTATAAATTAAAGTTCAAACTGTGACATCACATAATTTTGATGTTGTTAAAGGGATTTCTTCAGAAGCTGTATAATTCCATTTCATTACCTAATGAGATATTCAATGCTAGTACTGTCCCAGTTAGAATAGCATCATTTATCTATAAGAACATGTCATCAGTACTTGTACCACGTAACTCTTCATTGTGTTGGTTTCTTCTGTTGTATCAGCTACCACTGATTGTGAAGAATGTACAACAACTGGTCTAACAAAACCTGTTAGCATCACATTTAACATCTCATCCTCTTCCTATCAGGTAAAGCTAAAAGTAATTTAATTTTGCTTTAAATTAAATATTGTCATAGAATATGAATTTAGAGACCGGACTGTTTCATTGTGTTTACTGGAAGATTGAGCCCAATTCCTCAGCTAATGAACATATTAATGGTCATTGGAATAAAACTGGTTGCAGCTATGCCTCAAGACTTAAAGATATTGTCACTTGTCATTGTAATCATTTGACTCATTTTGCAATTCTACTCAGCCCTGGAGCAGGAGTGAGTCTAGAATTACTAGTTATTATTTTAACATTTTAATGTGTAGACTGTTGATACAGTACACGCTGACATTCTGACCGTCATTGGTTATGTGTTTGTCCCTATCTCATTGGTATGTAATAGTATGTTACTAACAGTACTGATACTGACATACTCTTGCATGAGGTAGGGCATGCTTTTTATTTGCAATTTGTTATCATTTATTGCAGGAAGCTCTACAGTTTGAGTAACTACACACACATAATGCCGTGTACCAACTTGTTCTTATCACAAGTGATTTTCTTATTTGGTATACAGAGAACTGAAAGCATATTAAAATTAATATTAGCCATAACATTGATTCTTTAAATCTTAAGGTTGCTTGTTCAGTTATTGCTGTTGTACTCCAGTACATGTTTCTAGTCACATTCATGTGGATGCTAATGGAAGGAGTGGTTTTATATATAATTTTAGAAAAGGTATTTATTTCTCGTTTAAAACATTATGAAGTATTATTTACTATTCTAAGTTATTGTAAGTAAATGGTATACTTAGTGACAATGCTATATTGTGTATGAAAGGTATTCCAGCAGTTTATATGATGATAGTTGCTCCTATTGGATATCTAGTTGACACTGGTAATGATCAACCTAATCACTACTTGTATTATGATAATGAAGAACTGGTTGCGTAAGTAACAGTATATACAGTTGTATTATGATGTACAATAGTTGCTGGTTGAGTTATAAAACTAGACTGATTTATATGGACATTCATTGCACCTGTCATGCTCATCATTCTGGTGAATTTGAAAGTAAAACTGTAACTTTGATTAATTTAAATTTCATAGATAAATACTTATTTCTTATTTGGAGCTCTAAGTGTAATGAGAAAGCACAGAGTATTGTTAGTGTACAATACCAAACTAGACGATGTCAAGTGAGACTCTATACTTGTACATATTGTTTAATAATCATTTTCAGCTATTGGTTGAAATCATCATTATCACTGACTGTTGTGATGGGCATAGCATGGCTTGGTAATGTCCTCTTCTTTAAGAAAGAGCTTCTCTTCATTGCATACATCATGACAGTCTTCATTGCTGCTCAAGGAATTATTATATTTATACTTTATGTCCTGCTGTCCAAACAGGTAAAGGAAATATTAACATTCCTTATCATTGTTTGTTATTTTTATAGGTAAGGAGTTCATACTTGAAATGGTGGCATGACAAACAAGTCAGAAAGTCTCTCAAGGTCACTAAAATGACTAATTTATCAGTAATCATTATGCAACTATCTAACTCTCCTTTATATCTGTAATTACAGGATGGAGCTACATCTCATTATAAAGTGGATACATCT